CAGCAGAGGCTAGCCACTTTCTTACAGCTGCAATGACAGCATCGTTGTCTGGAAAATGTTGTCCACGTAGTCCGTCTTTCAGAGGCCCAAAGAGATGGAAGTCTGAAGGTGCTAAATCGGGGCTATAAGGTGGATGTGGTAGGACAGTCCAGCCAAACTTTGCAATGTGTGCGGTGGTCGCCAAACTGGTATGGGCTCTAGGGTTATCATGTTACAAGTGAAAGGTTGTCTGCTTCTCTGGCCTGACTCAGGAAATACGGGCTTTCAGCTTAGTCAGCGTCGTCTTGTAGCATTCAGAATTGCCAGTCCCTGGTCGTTATCTGCTGATCTGTTCAGATGAGGCGCTGTTCATTGTGAGGAGTGGCAGCTGAGCAGGGATGCCCATGGCGTGGCTTGTCGTGCACTTCACTTTCGCCACTGTTGAAATGCGCTACCCACCGAATCACTGTGCTGACATCCACTGTATTGTCTCCGTACACCTTTAGCAAGTGTCAATAGATGTCAATGGGTACAATTTGTTCGGCAGTGAGAAATTCAATAACACATTTCTCTTTCATACGCACTTCTATGTCAGACGCCATTTTGGTAGACTGCTCTGCTGTCGTTATCTGTCGCTCGACAACCAAATTAACAATACATTGGCGGGAAGGTTCAACCTTTACTACAACACCACAAACATCCAGCTCAGGCATTACATATTAACACAAAAAAATAGGAGGCATTATATACGGAACGCACCACGTAGATTCCATATGCATCTCTTTGTATAATTTAATGAGAAATAGGACTGAATGAATGTACAAGATGAGTATGACATATCATGAACGCATTTGAAAGGTTCCATATTTATAAATGTGGGAAATACATATCTTATCATAATTGGTTGAAGCACTATGCTGTAAGCCAAAAGGTCATGGGTTCAATTCCCAATGAGGTCATTAGAATTTTCAATTGACCCTAAACCTTCCAGCCACACAGTGACCCTGGGATTGACTCAACCTGTAACAGAAATGAGTACCAGGACTCTTTCTAGGCGTAAAGGGCAGCCAGTGCATAAGGCTGATGTCACCACCATTTGTGAGCTGACTGTCTAGAAAATGTGGGAGCCTCGACATCTCACAACCCTATGGGCCTCCACAGCCTGTTACAGGAATAGCTTAAAAGCTAAAAATATTTTTCTTGTCTTCCTAATTAGCAATAGAGAATCAGTACTTCTATAAGGAGGTTGGTATCCTGTATGTAACTAAATATGGAACACAGGGTTATGACCATATACAGACAAATTACAGCAATTACAGTTACAAATAGGCACAATTCTTGGTTGATAGAGTGAAAGTGCACCAACAATAAATATCCAAATGAGAAAAGAGACATGTTTGGTCAGCATCAGAATGTTTCACTTTTGTCAAGTGTCACTGTGCAGTGGTGGTACTATAGTAAACAAGAAATATGTGTCTAATTGATGGATAAATATTACAAATATGGTGCTAAGAAATGGAGATTATGAATTTTTCCGATGCTGACACAACAAAAAATGTGCAAGTAATTTTGATTGACTGTAAGGGAGCACAATGGTTCAAAAGTGAACAGCAAAATAGTTTTAATGTAATTAATTTTAATGACAAAATGGTTCTCACAATCGTAAGGAGATACTGACAGTCAAACTGCATTTGCCTTTATATATGAGTAAATGTAAATGTTTAAATTTATTGAGTGGATATGATGAACAAACTTCATTATATGAATATGACAGTTTATTCTTCCACATGTTCAAAATTACATATACAGAGAAGGAAAGCTGGGAAACACTGGAATTGCTAAATTCATGTAGCTGTTCACCCAGCAAAAGGAGTGGCAGCTATATAAAACCTCTGATGCCAGCAAGATTAAGCAAAGAAAAGACTGAGCGTAGTTAATAATAATAAAATGGAAGACAAAAGTTACTGCTGTAATTCCCACAGAATCGCTCATACAGCTTTGTGTGAATTTATATCTGATTCTCAGTTAACACTGTGGACATGCGGTGTTGTATTGAGATATTGTGCTCCAAGCCGAAGGATGCGGGATCGAATCCTGATGAGGTGGATTTTTTCAATTTACCTAATCCTTCCAGCTGCACTATGGCCCTGGGGTCGACTTAGCCTCTAACAGAAATGAGTACCATGTATATTCTTGGGGAGAAAGGGCGGCTGACTCATAAGGCTGACAACCTTACTACCATCTATGAGCCGATTGTCTAGAAAATGTGAGAACGTCAACAACTCACAGCCCTATGGACCTCCACGGTCTGATACAGGGATACCTTTAGTAACTTACTTTTACTGTTGACACCATTTATGAATCTAATTATAAATGGAAATCACATCATAACAGGTTTCCTGTTCGTAATATCTTTTGCATCCAGAAGATATTAAAGAAAATCGTTATTGTATTCAACCTGGTGTGTATCGCTGTATAGTATTATTGTGGCTGACAACACAACAGATTCCAAAAAGAATAAACTAGTGTTCTGAGCGGCCTCCGTAGTCTAGGGGTAACGTTCCCACCTCATGACTCAAGGTACGTGGGTTCAAAAACCCGGCGGAGGTCGTGGAATTTTTAAGGGCGGAAAAATTCAGGGAACAAGTCCTCGGGGAGGTACTTTAAGCCATGGGTCCCATGTCGTAGATTTACGGCACGTAAAAGAACCTCATGTCTCTAGGAGACCTCTGAGCAAAATTAGGCCAAGTTTCCTGCCCAACTAGTTTCCAATTCCTCCAGTAGATGGGGGAAGTATCAGGTACCACTACCAGAGGAGGGGGGACCTCTCTGGCAGAAAGGGTCTAAAGTATTAGATACCACTGCCAAGTAGAGGGTAGAAACCTTGCTGGCAGAAAGGGACTAGGAACCCCTGCCAGAGGAGGGACGACCTCGCTGACAGAAAGGGACTAACTATTAGATACCACTGCCAGTAAGAGGTTGGAACCTCGCTGTCAGAAGGGGGCTGATAGTAAGTACCAGTACCGGTAGGGTATGGAGACAGTAGAAATTAAAGGGTGATGCACAATGGACCAGTAACCGGTCTAAGTGCATGGGGAAACCCACCCCCTCAATACGGAATACGGAACTAGTGTTCTGTATTAACATTTGCTAATTATTCTGTATCTGCTGCATGTTTTGATCCAGCTGGATCATGATCGGGCAGTTTTCATGACATAGCACTCGTTATTGAATTGTGTTTCTAATATAGATCCATATTAAAAATTATAATAATATACATTTTGTTTCCAATTTCTGCATCTTGTAAGTTGAAAGGGGAAGTTGTCCCTGTGCTTAACTAATTAAGCACTATGCCATGAAGGCATATGGGGGAGAGGATATATAGATCCACATTTTCATGACCTCAGTATTAGTTGGAGGTGAGTTGTCAGCTTCATGCCGCTGCCACTTAGCCCCTTAGGAAAGAACCCCCAGTACCCATTGAATAGGAGGTTGGGTGGATCCCATAGCCTGTCTGGACGGCATGGAGAAGAGAAAATTCTTTTCTCTACCGGGACTCGAACTCCAACCCCTCAGTCATCCAGCCTGTAGCCAGTTGCTATACTGACTATGCTATCCCAGCTGCTGTTCTACATCTTGTTATGTTACTAAATTGTAATATTAGTTATAAAGGTTAAAAGGTTATAATATATTTACAAATCTGTCAGAATGTTAAATTTTAATTATTTTTCTTAATTTAGTATTAATTAATATTACACTAGAATTATTCTGAAGTGCAATAAATGTCCATGGTGATATATCATAGAGCAGAGGGTTNTCGGTCAGAGGTCTCCTAGAGACATGAGGATCTTTTACGTGCCGTAAATCTACGACATGGGACCCACGGCTTAAAGTCCCTCCCGGAGGACTTGTTCCCTGAATTTTTCCGCCCTTAAAAATTCCACGACCTCCGCCAGGTTTGAATCCGCGTACCTTGAGTCATGAGGTGGGAACCTTACCCCTAGACTACGGAGGCCGCTTAGAGTAGAGGGTAGTTTTGTATCTTGTTTTTAGGCCCTTAAGTATATGTTATGTGGGTGATTACTTGCGTGCAAATTATGCTAAATTCTATATTTTCTCATATTTATTTTTGTGGTGTTTTACATAGCCGTGGTGAAATTATTATGTATGTTGTATATGTTGTGTCTTGTGTGGGGATATCAGAACCATAGAGCATGAACAATCACAATATCCAATAGCTGTAAGAAGTGATATCCCCACACAAGACACAACATATACAACATACATAACAATTTCACCAAAGCTATTCACAACACCACAGAAAGGAAGAATTACTAATATGGATCCATATTAGAAACACAATTCAGTAATGAGTGATATATCATGAAAGCTGGAAGAAGATGATCCAGCTGGATCAAAACATACAGCAGGTACAAAATAAGAAACAAAAGTTAATACAGTAACATTGGTATATTTATTTTGAATTTGTTGTGTTAATGGCCATAATAATACTATATATTGAAGAATATGTTGGAATATGATGGATAGTATTATATTGTAACATCCTGTTGCACATCAAGTTGCATGTGAGATGGCTGACTAATAGGAACAAATGATGGAGCAGTTATTCGTAGATTTTAAAAGCCTGTAATTCTGTTAGAAGATAAATACTGTATATAAAATTGTTTGTTTTTATTCTGTTGCACAGGGCATAAGATCAGTTACAAATATATGACATTGTGCTTCCAAGATTCTCCTCCACCTCTTCTTTTTCTTCTTCCTTTTCTTGGATGTGATATCACATAGTTTGGTAGATTGGTACCTATCCAGCAGGCTACATAGCCTACTGTCACTCAAGCCCTAACCATTTCAAGGACTCAGCTTCATGCCGTCAATTATATTTTTGGTAAAATTATTTACATTCTGTTTTTCTACTCATTTACTACATATCATGACCTTGCAAAGACTGTGCCTTTCCTTTTAAATTGAGGGGTTCTCTACATAATGGTTGTTTTATTGTGTAAACTAAAAGTTCTGCTGGGTTTCATATGTAATATCTATTTTTGATACTATTTCAGAGTGCATGCGACAGCGTTCAAATCTGTAACAGAGATGGTACGAGAAAGTGAAATACGGAAAGCTGATCCTGGGAAAGTCATCATGAAAGAGACAAAACACTCGTGAGTACTAAAACATATTCCAGCCTATTCTCTAGGACAGAATCCATGTCATTAACATTACAGCATGTGGAAGCTGTTAATTTATTATGTGTATTGACGTAAAATGAGGATTACTTATGGGACATAATATTCAGCTTTCAGAGCCCCATTTCTCACTTTGGACAAGACCAAACACGTGTGTCTTGTATTGTATATAATTAAAATTCCTGTAATAAGAATATGAAATATTAGAACCACTCCTTAAATGCAAGACAGTTTACTTAATGAAAATGAAACTATTCTCTCTCCTTACTGGTACATGATATATTTTTATAAATTACTTTTAACATCCCTGTTAAATATTTTGATTTGTTGGAACATGGAACTGTGTTTTTATAACACAATTACTCACTGAATTACTGGGTTTTTGGACTTTTTCCATCATCTGGAATTTGTAGGTAATAGAGGACGCTCTAGGTAATAGTTCTTCCTTTCTCACCTGAAGACAAAACATCGTGTCCTCTGTTACCTAGAATTCCAGACGATGAAAAAAGTCCAAAAGCCCAGTAATTCTGTGTGTCATCCACCATCATCAGAACCCTTTAGAATCTACAATTACTCACTATTTTCCTTTAACACAAAATGGAAACAATTATGCAAACGTGTTTTCTGCCCGTGTGATATTTTCATAAGACATATAAAAATACTTTCTTAAAATACGTCAGTGGGCCCAATTTCTTTATGTGAAGAAATACAAATATTGGAAATGGGAATGTTATGTCATTGTATCACCTCTACAGTCCAGCAAACTCAGTCGCCAATTTCCTGCACTTCGGCAGTAGAGTCCATCCAGAGTCTAACACAATGTTAAGGCAAGTTCATTTACACTTTCCTCACAAAACAAAGTGAAACAGAAAAATGTTAAGAGATCTCACTTCATGTGTCCTATGTGTATCAGTAAGTAAGTCACATGTGTGTTTGTGTATATGTGCGTGCACATGTATGCCAGGGGGTTCTTCTGCTGTCAGCAACTGTATGCAGCTTCTTGTGTCAGTGCAGGTCCTGTCTGTATAACAAAGTTCTTGCATGGTAGAAAGGAAAAATTCTTGTCATGTCACGCATTTCATGTTAATGTTGGAATTTATATTCACAGGCATGTCACTGAAGTCATATTTTCACTTTGACTCTAATATGAATTGTACAGTATGGTACACTTCAGTGTGATATATACATTAGGGTCAGTTATTGTAAATATCGCAGTACAGGTATTAACTTGTCTGAGAAATGCATTATGAAGTCAGGTTGTAACACATAAGAACAGGTAAAAATACCCTCCTCTTAGAATTGTTTATTAATGGGTTTATGATGTTCAGTTTCCACAGTAATCTGTCATTCCAGTCCTTTAAACTCACTTGAAATGTATAAGTTTTCCGTGACAGGTTGCCAGCTTGACTAATGCCAACCTGAATGGTGAGGATCTCTTAGTTTGGTGTAGGTATCCCTACTGACATAGCTCTTGGATTCTTTGGAAATCTCTTGCCTCCCCACTGTTACTTTTGGGGAGGTAAAAGGGGCCATGCTCGTAATTTCTTAAAGTAGCAAGATATTGTGTACTAAATAGCTGATAATTCAGGTAGAATAATATTCATGCATTTTAGATGATAAACCTGGAGACAGGCTGGTCTAGCAGTAATTCTCTGAACTACATTGAAGGAGTGCTTGGCTTGAATCTTGGCCAGGTTACCAGCTATTCTGATCGGGGTTTTTCATGGATTTTCCTTAGTCCCTCCAGGCAGGCTTCAGTTAGTCTATATTTATTCCTCCAATTCCTTTCTGCTTCATCATTCATTGTCATCCTATCATGCAACAATTTGTTTGTTATAGGCCAGGTAATCATATGGGGAGATATTTGTTGCCTGTCTGTTTATCTGCACACCAACCAGCTGGCTGAAGATGAGAATAATGCAGAGTCCAGTGTAAAGTTTATTGTTTGCAGGTTTCTAAGCCTGCTTATGCTGTGTATTTTTATATCTTCTTAGAATTTGTGTCACAAATAATTCATCATTGTAGGTGCTCTGGCCTGGTCTTATTCCAAATTAATTCTGAAGCAATGAGTCATTTACACATTTGGTATACACTCCTTTAGGGGGATGGACCCATCCTGAGGCCTTAACCTATACAGGACAGCAGAGTACAGAAACTTGTGAAATACATCAAGTTCTCAAGTGGGGTTTGGATCGTTAGTTCCAGTGTTAGGGAGATCCAAGGCTGTATATACTTTGGGCCATGTGGTCACTATTTATAAATAATGTATAAAATTATATGTATATAAAAGTTCCATTCATGTGAGACTTGAATTTATCACAGCAATGACTGTGAAGATTGATGTCTTTTTTAATATGACACTATGCAGTGTGATAGACAGCAGTCTGCCAGATTGTGGGACATCAAATCCCAAAAGACTAATCTTCATGTATCACTCATGTTATTTTAAGCCATCATGTGCCAGTCGCAGTATGCACTGTGTTCTTATATATGTAACATATGCCTGCTTCATGTTTTATTTGTCTCATTCTTCCTAATTGAATGACCCTAACTGAACAGAGTGTATGATTCAAATTATGATGCTGCTCATTCCATGCCTACCTTCACGGTAAAGATTAATACAACATTAATAAATCTATATAAATATAAGCATTGCAAATGCTTTTAACAATTGCTCTGTCAAGAGTGATGAAATTTTGCAACCTTTAGAATGTTGTTCAAGTAACTGTGCCAAATGAATGAATAAAATATCATTAACCTTTTGAAAGGCAAATGTCTTGTAAATAGTATTTAAAAATACGGTTCCTGCTTCATAGAAGATGTGCTGCATATCCTTTATAAGAACAAGTTGGTAATTGCAGTTTATGAAAATAATTTTCCTGAATTCCAAAAATTATGACTTGTAAATACACTCTATTGTGTGAACAGGAAAAATCTTCTGCTGCATCTTTTATTACTTCCTAAACTTATCATGGCTTTGAAGACAGAGTTTGTGATGTTAAAACCAAGGGTACCACAAGTGATTTATTAATGAGGGATTGTCTGCAATGAAGCTGAGCACAGCAGTCTGTCACTACACCTTAGGAGTCTGTAAGATTCAGTGTTAAGCGCAATTCCTTGTCACATTGACATAATAAAAGTTCTCTGAAGAGAGTTCATGTGGCAAGTTTAAAGGTGTCACTGTTTGCAAATTCTTGTGCTTCATGATCATATCAAATCAAAAAATTTGTGCCCTAAAACTGAATTTTAAATCTATCTTACTTAAACATGATGCAGTGGTTTGCTATTTGTAGATTGTGTGTATTCTTACAGTATTTAACGTAGCAAAAGGATGAGTTTGAATGAAATTTTTGGGTGAAAGATGAATCTGCAGTACATTGAGTTCTCCATATTTTATTTCTTATTCATAGCTATACTTTTAAAATAAAATTGTTATAAACATTTTCATATTTATTTGCTAAGTTCAGTTTTCTCCTGTGACTTCTCTTGAAATTGACACAAATCCAAAATGTTATTTTTTACATTACAGGAAGGTTTAGACTGTGGCACTGACAAACTGTTCTTCCCTGATAGTCTTACTTAAAAGGAACTGAAATTTTTGTCAAGCACGTAGCCTTGACCTCCTGCATTTTTATGTAAATTAGCGCAATAGTTCAAGTGAATTTAAATGACAGAAACAGCAGACCTACTAAATACCATAAACTACCGAACTGTTCCTTGTGCTAGGCACTGCCAGTTAACATATTACCAGTTCATGACAGTAGGTGGTCTTTAAATAGAAAATAACCTTCTACGTAATATTGTAATACAGTAACCCCATGTCATTCTGTGAAATTGACAGAGAAAGAGGAATCCCAGTCCCTGTCAGCATTCAGATCCTTCTTACCCAGTTCATAATCAGGCCCTGTACTGCCTGACCTTTTGCAATTAATAAATATGTTGCAGATAATCAGATTTCATTTATGTGGAAATAGTCAAATGTATTATTATGTTTCTTGTTTGTTTATCATAATTGAAAATTTGATTGCCACAGGTAAAGCATACAGTTAGTCTAGTGATCATAATCAAAGTGAAAATGTACTGTTTCACTCTTGCAGTTCTGGTTAAAAATAACTTGAGTTCTGTTAAAATAACTTATAAAGGAAAAAACTGGTGACATCAATCAGTGCTCCTGTGTGGCAGAAGACTAAAGAAATTTAAGAATGTCATAAACAAACAGTCTGCTTTCCATTTATTTTGTTGAGAGAGTGGTATTAGTAAAAGTAAGAGAAGAGTTTTCTGAAGAAGCTTTAGAGACTGAGTTGATTAGTGATTTGTCAGATCTGTAATTTTTAATGAACATTTTGCATTTATTCAGAAAGATACCAGTCTCCTTTAGTTCATTGTGACATCAACACATGTAGAACATTCTCCTCTAATCCTTCTGTACAGTCTCCATGACTCTGTCACAACATGTAGAATAAATGTAAGATTGTACATAACCACTGTATAGCAAATTTATGTGGTACCCTGCACTGTTCCAACTGTAGATGTAGTCAGCTCGCAGCAGTAAGAGGTGATGGACACATTAACATAGTAGATCTGACAAGCTGTAAATATTACATGCAGCATGTAGTAACATTTCGTTTCAGTTATCAGATTGAACCCATTTGTGCTTTAGTATATAATTTCAGCTTACCAGAACTCCTTACACATTATTAATACAGATCTTGTGAGGGTCAGTACAGAAACTCCTTCTCTCCCCTGTTCACCTTCCCTGGGTGACACTAAGGACAAAATTTGGCTCTTACACTTGAAATTTTAAACAAACTTTTATATATAGAGAATTTGTCTATACTGTTATTAAAAGTTGTACTGGAACTTATTTCAGAATTACTGGTAGTGGGCAGCATGAAAGTTGTTAAGGAAGTGTATAAATGAAATAAAGGGCTCTAGTTGTAAAGTTGAATTAATCTTGGTTGAATATGAACACAAAG